GGAGGAGGAGGCGGCGGTGAAGAAGGGGAATGTGGCGGAGAAGGAGGGACGCGCGGTGGAGGCGAGGTCTCTCTTTCTCGCTCACACACTCGCTCTTTTTTGTTTTGGAGGAGGAGGCGGCGGTGAAGAAGGGGAATGTGGCGGAGAAGGAGGGACGCGCGGTGGAGGCGAGGTCTCTCTTTCTCGCTCACACACTCGCTCTTTTTTGTTTTGTTGCTACTTTGCGTCTTCTATATCATGCTTACGAACTTTAAGAAGAAGAAGAAGAAAATTCAAGAAATAAAAAGAAGACGAAGTAGAAGAAGAAGACAGAAGAAGAAGAAGGAGAATACTTACCTCCAGAGATGGCAGCGATTGCAGCAGCGCGCAGCTGCAATGGGCGGCAGCAGCATGACAGCGTGGGTGACTGGAAGTGCCGAAGGGCTGCAGGGTGAGTGGGGGTGTATTCGCTCGTCCAGAAGGTGTCCGCGCGGTTTTGTGTAGGCCTTCGAAAGCCCAGGGGAAATCACATGGGCACTCTCTTGAAACAGCGCAAGACTTTGGGCCGTCAGTTGTGAAGATCAAAGAGCCCAGAATCAGCACAGTTTTTTGGAAGTCCGGGGCCAGTCTTCTTCGCTGCACTTTTTTTTTTCACACGGCCTGCCGCCTCCTCATAGCCCCAGGCGGGCCGCGAGGCCGGGGGGGGTTTCGCACCCTGAGGGTCTGAGATCGCGCCTGGTGGATTTGCCAGGCCAGACGATGGAGCATCTGGGACCCCGCTAGGAAATCGCAGCCCGGGCGCCCAGAAAAACAACTAGATTTATATCAACATTGTGATTTTGTTATTTGTGGTGCTTTATTCACGTCATTTTATCACGTCATCACTCTTTCTATCATTGCCATTGTTGTTGTTGTCATAGTGGTCATTATGGTTGTCATTAGGTAGTGAGCCGTCAATTATCATTCACATTGCCACTTGATTAATATCATTTTCATGGCGTATACAATGCGTTCCTCTTGTGTATGCAGCATTGACCGACTACCCATCCAATGACAGGGCTATGGTACAATGATTCTCCCTTACCAAGCAAAACCTCTGTTCCTCCCCTTCCCCTTGCCTCCCTCAATTTGCCAGCCAACCCCCAAAAAGCTACCTTCTCCTGTCCCCGACCTACTTGTTCTGTTTTCGGACATAGAAAATAAACAAAATGTAATGCTGTCCCGATAGCACGTGAACAGGTGATCGTGTCTGAAACTGTCCGATGTTCTTTTTGGAATGCAGAGGCTACTTTCTTCACTCCTTAGTTCCGGCGATGACGCAGAGGAAGAGCTTCCAACCATTATGCAATCGCTCGGTTCGCTCGCGCAATGGGCAATGCCTGTCTTCGAGACACGTGAAAATGATATAATCCGATTTGTTGTCAAAGACTTGCTTCGCCGAAACAGTGTAAGTCAGAAACCTGCTTGCTTTCTTTCCGACCTTTAAAATCCCCCCTCCATGCGTTGTTACTGTTTTTGTGTTGTTTCACTTTCCTGCTGTGGAAACCATCTGTGTGGCAAGAAGAGAATGCGGTCGAAACAATAACAGTTGCACCCGGCCACCGTGTGAAAAGAGAGGCTCCAGTACATTGTGACAACGGACTGCGCAGTGAGTGGTTGGCAGACAGGGAGAAATGGACAAGAAACGGGGGGCTGTGGACAGGAAACGGCGGGCTGTGCCTATGCATACGGTCACATTTCAATACGGCCTTGTTAGGTATGGTGTCACGGTGTTTGCAGAAATGGTGCTATGCCATCACCTTGAGCTTTTGCTGTATTCATGCACATAATGTTGTCGGTAGGGGGATATACTTCTTGGGGAAATGCTCACCTTTGTGCATTGTGCACAGGTCTGGTCATTCATTGATATTGGCTCAGGCATCTTACTGTAGGGGGATATACGGAACTACCGTTGGTGATTTGAAGATGACTGAGAAAAGCGACCTCGAGTATGAGAAGACTGAGATGTGTCAACCTATGGTATTGCCCCCTGTGGAAGAGCTGGTCCAGTGGGTCTTTTCAGCAGCTCCCTACAGTGGGAGCTGTAGCTACTGATGGGGTTGCAAGTGCTGGACGTTGTGACCTGCAAGCCCAAATTACAGATTACACTGTGACCACAACAAATTTCCTATGATCATTTTCACAAGGATGTCACAATCAAGGCTATTGTCTTCCCTCGAACACAAAGCGTCCTCATTATGAGTGTATCAGACTGGTAACATTACCTGTACAAACCCATGATCAGGGTTCGTTATGTTTGCAAGAAGGCGGTAGTGTATGCCACTTTGCTCAACTTTTGCATCGATTGTCAACAACACTACCAAGATACCAGGTTGAATGACCTTGCACTGCAGTGTGAAGTGCCAGGTCATTTCAACCTGGTTGCATCTGCTGTAATTCCACACGCCGCACAGATTAGACTGTCCAGGAAGCAAAGCTGAGTAAGTCCGAAGAGCGACAGGCTCACCTACTCTTCAAAAGAAGCTTATATCTGTCCCTTGCTCCCTCTCATTGTTATGCAATGCTTTGGGATTTGGTTTATCTCCAAACTCTCTCATCTTTCTAGAATGAGAGACATCCTTTAGATCCTGCCCCTTGGAATCTTACTCCCCGAAACAATCTCTATGGCATGAACTATCTCCCTATTCACAACTCCTGATTGTTCTTCCTGAAGGTCTTAATATTCGGCGGTGACTTTTTCTCGCTTTAGGAGTCTTTATGACCTGCTCATTCAGAGAAGGAATGCTAGATACACGCCTTCCTCCCTCTTCCACTTCCAGTAAGCATCCATAGGATTGGTGCAGGTGATGGATTGACAACTCTTTGCTGGCACACCTCTCCCATTTGGAGTTTTGAACTGCAAGGTTTTCTCGTCCCACCAGATTTCTGCCCAGTATCATATCAAACAGTAAGTCATCATTTACGAAAAAGGACACTTTGTGCTATTTCTTGTTCATTCCACATGAGAAGGAATCTCAATGGAGGAAAGGGTAGCGTGAACATTGCCACAAGGATGCTCACCATGGTGATGTTCCTAGAAGTTTTGCAGTCGTGAGTGCACTTGAGGGCAAAACCTGAGTATGGCATAAAGCTGTTAATCTGGCCACAGTAATTGGACGTGCTCAGTTTTTGTACGACCTCGGCGTGGAACTGCACCATCTCGTGTGAGCTCACAGAACTCATACACAGTGCTTTCTTAGTAGCACTGAGGTCATCTCTTTTTGACACACTCCTCAGTAGACTCTGACAAGTCTCTGTCCTCTCCATCAAGGTCATTTTCTCTATAGCCTCTCTCTATAGCATATCTTTCCCCTTCTCGTACGAACTGAAGATATCCTTCCCTTCCTTTTGTCCTGACCTTCATGCAAGCTCTGTTCTGACATTTGGAGCTGTCTAGCCATGGGTTGACTTGCAACCAGAGGCTTACGTCCTGACAAGGATGCTGCTATAGATGAAGCAGCCTTATTGAACTTTCTCTGGCTGGCTGTTGCCTGGCTACTTACGGCTTGTGCCTGTGACACCTGGGGCTAAGTTGACCCTGTTGCAGTGCTTGCAGGCCCAGACATGGCCGGCCTAGACTTGGTCTCTTGCCTTCTCTCTTTCTTTTCTTTTTCTGCCCTTGTTTTTTTTTTTAAACGGCAACATCCTTGAGATATGATCATTGAACTGACCAGCCCCAGGTAATTCAGAATTATTTTAATTGCACTTGGATTCCAACTTGGGTTTGTATTTCAACAGCTCATGGGTGTACCGACTGAGCTTGCCTTCTCTCTTCCTCAAATGTCTCCGAGTTCAAAAATGTTACTAGCGTCTTTAAAGCCCCCTGCCACGTGACACGATTGCTCATTCAAAGCAGAGACTATCACTAATTGGCACAAGGTCAGGTTGTACTGCCTTCTACAAAACGCTGATTGATTGGATGAGTAATTGTGGTGTTAACCGAAGACAAGATGACTAAATCCCATGACCAGCGCTTCGATGACCGCTCCCAGCTATCTTGCAGCTGCAGTGTATACTTCTGGCGGGTGTACTTGGGTGTAACGGAAAACTACTTGGGGAGTCTTGGTCTGATTTCTCAACTAACAGTCCGATTCCAGTGCCCAAGACCAAGCACTATAACTAGCTGTGTCAGTCCTGCTCACCTAATTAATAACAGCTGTAACTACAAATAAAAAGCATGACAAGTGGAAGTTTACAATTTTACAGTCGAGTACACAGTTGGTATCCACCCACCGCAGTGTTCACTCTCTGCTTGCAAAGATCCAGTGGCAATCGGAGAGCAGCCACCCCCTCAACTTATGACTGACACTGGCAGAACAACATACAGGGAATGAACACTGTCCCACCCCGTGCTGGGGGCTCGAATGGGTGGCCAACCCAATCAAGGTTTATTTAACATTGCAACAGAACGGTGGTTCAAGAATTATTTAATGTCGCATCAGGATGACAGTTGCTCAGAACTATTTAATGTCAATGTGATCTGCGCATGCATCCGTGTATACCCACAGCATGTGCTCCGCATCACCAGGGCCCTTCCCATACACCACCCGTCTAACATAGGGGCTCGCACTTGCACCTCGCCAAAGAGAAGACCCTCAAGTAAACCACGCTTCCTCACGGTAAGCAGATAAATAGATGGGTAGATAGGGTTAGGAATGATGCTGACCCAACCCCGGGTTACCTCACCGACTGTTGCTGATGTTGCTGTTTGGTGACTGATCATGCCCGAGGAACTACAGGCATGTTCACCATCAGGGCAAATCATGCTGAGTACTGCCTCAAGCAATGGCAAGCATCAAAATACTCTCACGTTCTCACCACTCGCCACACACTCCAGCCACCCTTCTCCACACCGACTCTATACTGAGCAGATTCGTCCTACAGGCGGTGCAAAGTCAACTCACTGCAGGTCAATGAGCACTGGCTCCGTGCTTCCTAACTTGCCGAGTCCGGGGGTGTGTGCGGACGTGCATGCATCGGCGGGTGTATGTTTCCATGTTCTAGCCGAAGATTCATTGGATGTTGCTCATCCTATCGATGGAAGTAGCATGGCGCGAGCCACGAGGTCGGAAAGTTATCGTTTCTCTCTCTCTCTCTCTGTCTCTCTCTCTCTCTCTGTCTCTCTCTCACACACACACACACTGTTGCATACTTCAATGAGTATGGGCAGAACCAAAGATCAACCAATATAGGATGAGCATTTATGCAGCGGAAGTCTGATAAACGAACTGACTCACATAGACTGACCTACATGGCATCACTCCACACACATACAATCATGAGATGGTGGGGTCTGGGTCATTCATAGACGATACCCAGATCCCGTACACACATACACAGATGAAAGGTGGGAGGAGAGACGAAGGATGTAGGAGGTAGATCACACTGATAGGTCACAAAGATAGAGTCTGGTAGGTCTCCGAAATGGTAGTCCAAAATGTCATATAACAAGATCAAAATGTCGAGGACCAAAGGTCACCAATGTCGGAGATAACAGAGTCCAGATGTAACCAGTGTCCAACTGTGATGCAGCCGAGTATCAACCTCAACAATCTCCAAGTTTCCAATCAGGTAAGTACCACAGTCTCGTATCACCGAAATCCAACTCTGATCTCTGTCCAACTGGATAGTCTCCAATCTGAAGAACAAGAAGAAGAAGAAGAAGAAGAAGAAGGAGGAAGAGGAGAGAGAGAGAGAGGGGACTGGCGAGGGAGAGGAGGAGAGACCCTCCAAGCTCCCGATACCTCAGGCGGTGATAACCGCCGTGCAAGCTCAGTCGCCCGCTGCTGCGCTATGCTGTGCTCCTGCTTCAGCCCCTGCGCTAAGTTTAGCGCATCAAACAGTGCACTAGCACTGACCATGCCGTGCCGGTAGAGTTCCGGTAGGCCAATCCACTACTGAGGCGGATATCGGTACTTATACCGGTGGGCAATGGTCTGGCCTCAATGCTGCGAGGCCAGGCCAGACCCTGAACCGTCCAGATGGACGGTTCAGCCTCAATCGGCGGGCAGCAGCTTCAAGAGTGCCGCCAGGCCCAAAGGAAGTGTCGTTTGGGCCTACCCGATGGGTGATAGTCCAAGATCAGGCCTTTAGGGCCTGTAAACCCCAAAGGTCGGGCCTTTAGGCCCTGGTGTGTCCCTACGGCCCTAAGTCGGGTCCGGTAGGACCCGTGTCAGTCGAAGATGTAACACACACACACACACACACACACACGCGCGCGCGCGCGCACACGAACGATTCATTCCGATTTTGCTAAAAAAGTGGCAGTGTATATATCCACGTTTCAGCGGAAGATTCATTCCGTTTTTGCTCATCCTATCGATGGAATGTGTGTGTGTGTGTGTGTGTGTGTGTGTGTGTGTGTGTGTGTG